AACCATCGCCATATGGTACAGTCGCGATCAAGAGTCTCACTCTACTTTTTTATTTTGCTTATTATATGAAAAATAAAGAACATTAATTTAATATAATTATATGTACGTATAGCTGAGACACCTAGACATATAATGCATGTATGCAGTGCTTAAATACATTATACAAAATAAATACGAAGAAAGGAACTATCTTTTTTTTTTCAAAGATGTGTGTAAAAATCTGAAAAGCCTAGAAACCTACACACTCGCGACAGATCGCATAGTGGGAACATTTTCTCGTCATTGGAAAACGTAAGAAACCTAAAAATCTGGAAACCTAGACACTTGTGAACGATATCATATATATTTGTAATAATATTGTATGTACATATTATCAACAAAAATACTTTGAATCGGTAAAAGAATATTGATTGGTGAATTGGATGGCCATAAGTGGTATGGGTGTGCCTGCTGTTGGATTATTCGGACGGCGCGGTACAGTATCGTACGTCTGCGTTCGAGTGATTCGCACCTGAACAATGAATGCCTACACAAAACAGCTAATTTGTCTACTATACATGAACATCCGAACGAGGATTAGAAGAAATAGTCAGACCTAATAAACACAGACTCTCTCTATCTAATATTATTACAAATATCTGCATGATCAAGCGTGTCGATGTCACATGCAGATACATGTTGAAGAGCTTTTTTAAAACTCTTCACAGCTTAACCATAATCAGCTTTTATGTACACAGCACAACCTAAATTGTAGTGGGTGACGGATGGAGATGGTTTATTTGGTTTTGGATGTTTGAAAATAATATCAACTGTTTCAATCGGCTGTATTTTGGACTCAGGTGAGGACGATGTACAATCTTTAGATAATTCTAGCGTTTCATCGTTATATCTTTTGGCATTCACCAAATCATTTTAACGTTCATAAACAATGCTAATATTATTATAAATAGTTATTTTAGCATTGTTAGATGATTCATAGTGTTTCAACAGTATGTGATAGTAATCTATAGCTCTGACAAATTTTCCAGTTTCCACCCAAAATAAATCAAGTTTAAAAATTGTCAACTTTTCACCAAAATAACTTTTAAAATGATCAAGTAACAATTGTGATTCATTCCTTTCATGATCGGTTAATTTCAGTCTCATTTGCCAATTGTCCGATAGATTCTAACCTAAATATTGTATCAATGAGAAATTGAACATCTCCATCTTGTTTCAAATAACTAACAGAATATTATGTGTTCGAAGTCCTTAATTTAATACTTGTCGAATAAACTTCAGTTGACGCTTATACCACCAAATGGCTTGTGAAGACGAATAAATATTTAAAAAATCATTAATATCGTTTTGTTTTCGTTTATTAGTTTTGAATTGTGCATGACATACTTCTAACATTTCATTATATTTATTATTTCTTTCTTGCTTTGGTAAATGACATAACGACTTAATTAAAAACTGAAACTAAATAAATTCGGCCTGTTCATCGCTAAGCATTTCCAATATCAGCTCTTTGATGTTGTTCATTGAATTCCTTATAAATACTGTTGTACAAAATTCATTACTAGCTAAATACTCCATTGATGGAATATACGATGAAAAGACTTTTATATCGTTCAACATTTTAATGGTCAGTTGCTTGATATCATTAAATATACCTGATAGCTTAACATAATTTTGTTTCAATTTTGTATCTTGCTTGTCATCTAATTTGCTTCGGAGTAAATATATAGAAATAATTTGTGTGAGATTATGCACTAGTGGTAGCACATTTTCACCAACTGTATCTGCGATCACGAGAAAAATTTCTTTCTCTGAAACTGTAGTAATATAGGAAAAACACCGTAGGGAATCATCATACGTTTTCATCTGAATGTCTGATATAAAATCAGATGTAATCCCATCCGAAAGTAAACAAACAATATTCAAGTTTTCTTTGAAATTGATGTTAGCATCGTCACCAGTTATAGCTATAGAGAAAATGGAAACTATTAGTGATAAAACAAATATGGAGGTACTAATCTAGGTAATACAACAAGTAATGTCATCAGTTATTTGTAAACCGTTGGCTGAAAGAACTCAATTCAGGTGATTCGAGATGTACTCACAATATGAAAACATCTAGTTTCGACAAATGATGCTTAAAACAATTAGAGAAAGACAAATGATGCTTAAAACAATTAGAGAAAGAGAATCTTGTAGATCGGACGCACTAACAAAGGAACCTCCTCAAGCGTTACACTCTGTTTCAAATTATTTATGTGCCGATCGATAAAGAATAGTGAGCTAGTAAATCACCAAAAGGATTTGTGCCCCTGCGGCTTTTTCCTCGAGTTATGGTTGATTTAGTGAAATTTGAGTTTTTGATATTTTGGATGCAGCAAAGTGTTGCAACGTGTTGAAGAGCTAAAACACACGCCAATAATAGTCTCAACCACAATCATCAAGCTACAAAAATATCAGACCTTTAGCTTCTGTCTATTGTGAAAAATTGAATTTTCTGTTTTCCATAGAGTTTCTACAGTTTTGTGACTTGTAAGTGAAAAAACTTTTCTCGTCATTATCAAGCCCGTATTTTGTATTCATAAGCGAGTAAAATACCTTATTATCTATGTTAGAGTGTTTTCTAAGTATTTGCACTATTGAATTAAATGATTAGAATTATTTCCATTTCTAAATCGCACGGCACTCCAGAAACCTAATTTCTCATAATAGACATAAGCTCAAGAGTGAACTTTAGAGATTTTCATAACAACTTTTCATTCAGTGAGCTTAAGGTTCAAGGCGAAACAGAAGTGTGACATATCCCCTACTTAACCCTTTGACGGGCGGTGGTCCATATACGAACCACTTTTTCGTTTTTTATGATACTGAGTTTCCTAATTTTTCCTAAATTCCAAATAAAATGAACCTTTCAGAGAACATTCTTCTCTGTATGATACCTATAGTATGTTAGCCCAAAATAGCCCAAATGCTTCAGGACCAAGATATAGGTTTTTGAAAAACCTTGGTTTTTCATGATTTTCTCGGCTCAGAAGCACTTTTAGACAAAAGTAACAACAGATTCAGAATCAGCACGAGAAACTGCATAGAATGATGAGCATATGAAGTATTTCTGAACAAAAGATGTTTCGATCCAGTGTAATACGACGGTTTTAGGGTATACCGAAACGGACTGCAAACGCATGTTTATATGAGTTTCATCCGTGGAAAGCGTCTAGATCCTCATACAGTGTGTTGATAGAATTCCTGGGTATTTGCAACAGTGTCACAATAAAATCTAGAAACTACATGTTCAGCACCGGTTGAAAGGGAGTTCATATTTCTATCTCTTTTTAGTACGTTAGTTGCACAGTTTGCACATGAAAAAAAACTGGCGATGAATTGTATTAATTTCTTTATAGTTTAAAATGACACGATGAAAAATAAAAATAGTCGCCTAAAAAGTTTTTATGAGGTTTTTTCAGCGTACAATTAGAGTGGATAGGCAGTTTTCGACAACACTTGCTGCTTGATACCAATTGTGACACGCCTAAATGTCTCCTGTATATAAATGAATCCCAACAAAAAGGGTAGGAGTTATTGAGTTTGACTACGATATTATTGTTCTCAACAGTCGTCTTCAATTTCTATTATTGCAATGATGAAGAACGGCCGTATTTTTTTCAATCATAATTGACGGAATTTTTAACCTTTTTTTTATAAACCTTTCCAATCTGAGCTATACTTTTTTATTTTAATTCACTTGGTTCCTAAGTCGATTACTCGTTTCACTATTCTGAGTATAGATTTTTTTGAGATTCTCTTCTTCCCGCCTTACACATCTGGTAATTGTAACAGTCAATTCTTTTGACCTTAATTAGTGTTGTAGAGTCCAAAATACCGAGTTCTGTCATATTCCCTGGGCACCCAGCTCTCTATTTAAACAACGTCTTTCGGGCTAAGACAATAGCTAAGATTTTTTTCTGTAGATTTAACAGTTGATCTTTAGACGGTATTATTACATTTTTTCTGTCTGGTGTACTGTTCTCTTGTGAACGCTGATTGGAACTAAGCGGTGGTAGATAAAGACGGCAACTGAAGGGCCTCATCAGATAGTATACGAGATCAACTAACGAGGGAACCTATGGACATGCCCACCTCCGATTCCAATGATGTATACATGGATCGATAGACCATGGTGTGGTAGTAAAAAACCTAAAAGGATTAATCCCTATGACTCTTGAAGACTCGGTTTTCCGGAAAACCAGTTTTCAGAAACTCCAAAAAGTAATCAAAACCTTTCTTAATGAAGCATGATTACAGTGCTCGCGTTTCTCATTAAAATGAGACATCTTCCAGCTCTACACGACTTTTCTTTGCAAAGTTATATAATTTATAACAAAAGCCCAAAATTCCTTTTTGCTTTTTCTTTCTATATCTCTGAGCTGACAATAAACATTTTCTTTTTTAAATTGTAAATTTAAAAGTGTAAATTTTTTAGGGTTTTGTTGTAAATTCTATAACTTTGCAAAGAAAAGTCATGTAGAGCTGGAAGATGTCTCATTTTAATCAGAAACGTGAGCGCAGCAATCATGCTTCATTAAGAAAGGTTTTGATTACTTTTGGAGTTTCTGAGAAATTGGTTTTCCAGAAAATCGGGTCTTCAAGAGTCACAGGGATTAATCCTTTTAGGCTTTTTACTACCACACATGGTCTATCGATCCATGTATAAATCATAGAAATCGGATGTGGGCATATCCATAGGTTCCCTCGTAAATGGTCTCGTAAGGTAGGAACCTGATACATTACAAGTAGAAATATGAAGGGTGAGGGTGGGTAAGTATTATGATAATGAAATGCCACGACCCAGAATTCGACCTTTCCTAAGGGTCTCATTAGATAGCTTTAGCACTGAAGAAAAAATCAGTATGAGGAATTGAGAAAATTTTCCAGCGATTTATTAACATTTAAACTTTTAATGAAAATTGCACGATTAAGAATAAAGAACAATTCACTTGAAATCAGTGTTCAATACGAACATCTGCACAACCTCGGAAGGTTTCTTGTGGGCCGTAGCCTAAGCCTGTTTTGCCTTCGCTTGTACCCCAACGATTTGCACACGTCCAATCCCACTGTAAAACACATCGATCACATGTCAAACCATCAGGTAGTTTGACTTTGAAAGAATACGATGGAAGATCCCAGCCAGGAGCAATACTGTGCGTATAAGTGCCTGGAATGTCCCAGCGATCACGAGTGGTGGGTGTAGTGGGTGCTTCGACGATTTCTAATGGATATCGATCCAAACATTCTTGAGTCACCTCATGAAGATTGTTTGTCACCGGACAGATCTTGAAAAAGAACCATCCCCTATGGTTAGCTTTCATCTCAACACGGACATCGATCACTGATCCAGGTTCGTAAGTATGTGTCGTAATGCCTGTAAAATATTTACCATTAGGTGCTTCATTATCTCGAGGTCCATCGATTGGATCACCACATACACCACATTTTCCACCCATTACCCAGTGATGCTATACATTCATCATCAGTCAAAAACAATAAGTCGGTTGAAAAAGCATCTCTTAACTCACTTGATATCCACCACAATTCAGTCCCCAATCGTTATAATTGATTGGTGTATTAAAACCAAGTTGCCATGCCGAACTTCGACCAGGCGGCAAAGCTAATCTTCCATGACCGCTCGCAATTCCGACAAAGATCACTATGATCAAAATTTTAAGCATGGTCACAGTGTTCTATGTGACCAAAGTTATAGGGAAAGTGAATTCGATTTCAAACGCAGAACGAATATACTTTTTATCTTCATTTAATTGAAAAATTGTAATTTACAGCTGGCAACGTTCTCATAACAGAATCGTTAGGAATTTTATAAAAACAGAAACTGCTTGCATCAGTTATCGCCAGATACCTAACGCGTTTACTTAATCCATGGCGCGAAAGTCTCGGCACAAAGCGTTCGTTGAATTTGCTATCATTTAGCCGTCAGCGCAGAGAATGAAAAGTAATCAGTGAGAGAACCAGAATTTGATACTCTTTCTAACTATATGATGAATATTTTTTTCTGACCTAAAAAAGTTTCGCTATGAACAGATATGAATAAAAACTGATGTTTGCACCAAATTAACTAGGCGTTTTCTTGCCTTTCAAAAATTTTCTGGATGATATTTTCGAACAATTCTAACTGTATATTCCAAATAATCATTTAATTTTTACGAGATCATGGGTCATAGTAAATCGGAGCTCAGGAAAACAAAGAATATAGAGATTTTTTGAAGGACTGTTTCCTAGGTAAGACAACATTTTATTTAATAAAAATGCTTTTTTCCGAATTTCATTTTCTAAAATGCGACAGAGTTGGAGTCATTTTTTATGAAATACGATCTAAAAGGAGTGTTGAAGTGTATAGGGGTAGAAGTTTGCCTGGGGGGGGGGGGGGGGGGGGGGGGGGGGGGGGGGGGGGGGGGGGGGGGGGGGGGGGGGGGGGGGGGGGGGGGGGGGGGGGGGGGGGGGGGGGGGGGCCGACGTTTGCCTGCCCCCCCCCCCCCCCCTACAGGTCGTGTTCGACAGTCTCAATAACCTTCGTCCCCCAGAATTAATTGATCATAATTAATGACTTTGATTAATGTTTTCCAGAAATTTTTGACGGAAACGCAGGAATTGCGTGCGCTAACAGCTTTTCTATACATCGTTACATTTTTTCATTTCTTTTAGATCAGTCATACATAATTTTCAATATGACTTTTGAGCTCTCACGCGAACAGTTTCGAACTATGATTTTATATGACTAATAAATTCGTTTAAGTTACAAGAAAAGCCGTGCCCGTTTAGTATAGGCATGAGGAGACTTAACACCTTCAGGTCGTATACTAATCAATTCGTTTCATTAATTTCAATAGATTAATTTCGGCAATGAAGATGCAGCCCATTCAGATCACCCTCCAGCTGCTATAACCTAAAACAATTATAATGCTGATCGAGTAATAATTGACGATGATTCTCATTGAACATACAAATGAATAGAGGATACCCTGACGAGGGAACCGCCCCAGGTGTCCGGCTCCGATTTCGTTCGTTCATATATCATTCGATAGAGGACCTCGAGTAGGCAAAAAGGCTAAAAGGATTTGGGCGGAGGGCCCTTTAAGACCCGGTTTTCTGGAAAACCAGTTTTTCAGAAACTCTAAAAAGATAATCAGCACCTTTCTTAATGAGGCAAAATTGTAGCCCGCGGAATTCTGATCAAAATGAGATATCTCCCAGCTCTAC